TTTTTTTTTTTTTTTTTTTTTTTTTTTGCAACTGAGCTGATGATTCATGGAAGTCTTCCATTAAATTTACATTTGGGCTCTTTTTAAAAGGGATGATTTACTCTGATTTTTTTGTCAAGTATTCTATCAGATTCATCACTGGCTGTTGAATAACGATGGAGAATTCAGAACATTGCAGAAAATAGAAGCAGAATTCCAAGTACTGTTTCAAAGTGGTCACTACAAGGATGTTAGACGATTTTTCTCTTCCTGTATCATCACTTGAGATCTTCATTTTTTCCAGAGATTCCATTGTTTTCTTTTTTCTTTTTTTTTTAATCTTACACTTGATTATCCTTTGTAACTCTTAATACTTGCTGTTCCTCAATGCCACAAAAATTTTGGCAATTTTTTTTTCATAGGAATAGTGATCTAGGGGAGATCAAGAGATATTGAGGGGACAATACGCTATAAATAAGACTGTGAGTTGTTTAAATATAAGCTTAGTGGACAGAAGTTCATTCTTGAGGATGTTTTTGTATTATGATTCAAAGGAAAAGTTATGGTGATATCAGCCTAATGGTAATTCAAATATTAAAGGTTTATTGGGATAGTTTAAAAAACAAACATTAAAAAGAATCACAACTTGGCTACTGATGCCATTTTCTTCTTTAGTTGGAGACAGTAGAATATCTCTGTTTTTCCTTTGGGTTCACAAACTCAATAGTATGTTGTTTTCATTAAGATTTTATTAATTCCTCTAAATAACTGACAAGTTATTATTGCTCTTTAAATTGAATTCCTTTGTACTCTTTTTAACTTTCCCTCTTGACTTGAAAGCAAATTTATAGCATTTTCTTAGAATAAGATATTTTATCTTAAACTTTGACCTCAGATTTGATTCTTTTAATGGTTCCTTGAGATATATTCCTTATTCTTTTTGTTATTTCTTACTTTAAAGCTATGTTAACTTAGTTTGCCCTAGTGATCCTGTGTAGACCATTTATAGCTACCATTTTGTTCTGTGATTTTGCTTAAACCTTTCATAAAGCTCTCCAACAATTGAGATATTTCAAATGGTGGTTTGTTAATTATTCTTTGGAACTCATAAGAGTTTTACTCCTAGAAGGAGTAGTATTTTTAGTGGATTGTGGTTGGGTTCTTAGAATAATACATGAAAACCTATTTTAACCCAAAATATGGTAAAACTATTCTACTTTTCCAAAGTTAAAATATAACACATCCAGAAACTAAGAAAATTAGCCATAGTTTATCTTTAGTGCTGATCTTAAGGGAAACCTAAGTAGATTTGAATATGGAATAGATAGTAATAGATGTTAATATTCTGAAGAAAAATCTTGAGTACGTTAAAAACTTAGAAATATATCTGTTTCTTTGTTTAAAGGTATCACTAACAATAGTTTTTCATGACTGGGCTTAGTTTTAGACCACAAATGATAGAATGGAAGAGAACTAAGAAAGATTTGTACTTGAAATTAATACATAACCATAACAGAGCACATCACTGTAACAGTTACCATCTTTTGTTCCTCTTTATTCTTTTTGAAATCTTGGCAATTCCATTTGTGATTCCTGTGTTACCCAATTTTGGAAACTATAAATTATCATTTATGGTAGTATGTATTATTTGAGTAATGTGATAAATGGAATATTAAAATTATGCTCAACTGAATGTACCTTTAACTTGATTAATAAACTTTAGTTTAAATTGTTAAATATTATCAAGAAATTTAGTCTTCATTTATAGAGGATGTTGTCTGCAGATGAATTATTTTGATATTTTAATTTAAATTGTTGATAGTTAACTAAGTTGTTGATAGTTTTCTGATTACCTTGATTGAGAAGAATCTTTAAGTGAATTTGACCCCAACTTTTTATAACTGCTTTATTTTCTTTTGTGTTTTTAAATGATGGGTATATCTATATCTGTATGCAATTAAGCTATTTTGAATAAATTATGGAAAGATGTTAAGTACAATGTATTAAAATAATTAAAATTTCTTACATATATGACTAGTGATTATGTTGCTTTAACACCTCTCTAAAATATTTTTGTTCAATTTTTGCTATTCAAATTGTAAGTTCATTATAACAATATACAGTTAAGATCCTCATGGAAATAGGAAATTTGTTTTAAAGATTTATTTTTATTATTTTTTAGAGTCAGCTCAGTCAATGTAATAATGCCTTGGAGAACTCAGAAGAACTACTAGAATTTGCAACACGGTCATTAGATCTAAAGGAACCTGAAGAATTTTCAAAGGTACCAAAAACCAGCCAAAAAACTAAACCACTAAATAGGAAAGTTTTGTTTAAAAAAAAATGGTGCTTTCCCTTTCAATTTTGGATTTATTCAGCTATTTCTAATTCTAAAAAAGTCTTTGTGGAGGGTGCCTGGGTGGCTCAATCAGTTGAACATCCAGCTCTTGATTTCAGCTCAGGTCATGATCCCAGCGTCATGGGACTGATCCCCACGTTGGGCTCTGTGCTGATCGTGGAGCCTGCTTGGGATTCTCTCTCTCCCTCTGCCCCTCTCTTCCACTCACATGTTCTCTCTTGCTCAAAAATTAAAAATAAATAAATAAGTAAATAAATAGGCTTGGAATTTCTTAAGTAAATTGCTGTATATTTATGTTTTCCAAAGCAGACACCCAGATGTGTCTTTGGAGTCAAGAACAAATTATTTAATTTCTCTTTAATGCTCTATTCAGATGAATCAAGTTATTTTCTTTTTCTTTTTTTTTTAAATTTTTTTTAATGTTTTTATTTATCTTTGAAGGAGAGAGACAGAGCATGAGCGGGGGAGGAGCAGAGAGAGAGGGAGACACAGAATTTGAAGCAGGCTCCAGGATCTAAGCTGTCAGCACAGAGCCCAATGCGGGGCTCGAACTCATGAACTGTGAGATCATTACCTGAGCTGAAGTCGGATGCTTAACCGACTGAGCCACCCAGGCGCCCCTATTTTCTTTTTCAATTACATCCCTACTGGTTATTTATTTTAAGGGTACTTGTGTTTTTTACCTTTGTTATAAGTATTTTTTGACTTAGGAAAGAAGATTAATATTGCTATTAACATTGTTCAAAGTCTAGTTTTGTATTCCTTCTATGAGCTGATTGGGAAAACATCACTTGATGCAGATGAGCACTGTAACCTAGTGAAATTTGTTATTAAATGTCCCACTGTTTAGTGTAACTGCTTGAATGTTTTGTTAAAATATGATGTAGGTTCTTTTTTTTAAGTTTATTTATTTATTTAGATAGAGAGCATGCACACAAGAGCAAGGGAGGGGCAGAGAGAGATGGAGAGAGAGAATCCCAAGCAGGCTCTGCACTGTCAGTGTGGAGCTTGATGTGGGGCTAGAACTCACGAACCTGTGAAATCATGGCCTGAGCTGAAATCAAGAGTAGGACGCTTAACTGACTGAGCCAGCCAGGTGCCCCCAAAATGTAGGATCTTACTTGAAGGGTATGTTTGGTATGAAATATAAGCAGTAGAAAAATAAGACTGTTAATGTTTTAACCTAGATCCTGGTATGTAGGAGATTCTGATTTCTAGATTCTAATTTTTATTTTAAGTTGGGTCATTTTTAAATGATTACCAAGTTATCAAATCAAATACACTCTATTTGATGTAGAATAAGGATGTAGAATATATTAAAAAAAGGTGTGAGAAAAGTGGGAACTTGAGCTATATAATTAGTAAAATATATACTATGTAGGAATTTTATCAAGATAAGATATTTGAATTTGATATTTTCTTGGTCTTTGTGGAGTATGTAGTGAAAACTGCATTAGCACGGTTTTATAATCCATTTTTGTTCATCTAATATTTTAATTTCATGATTTTTCTCTGAACTTGAAGGTAGAAAAAACTTCTTTGAGAAGATAACATTTTAGTGGTTTACATCCCTTGCATTTTGAAAATGAATTTTAAAAATGGATTACTTCTAATGAAATGAATAAAAACATTCTTTTGCTGTAAATCTGTGACTTACTTAATTCTTGAATTTGGAGGTAGATTGTAAGTAGGTTCATCTTTGCATTTGGTAGGACTTGCTATATAAAGGAATTATGAGGAAAATGTATCATACTTTAAAGTACTTTAAAAATATATATACATCACCTTTGCAGAGGATGTTTATGGGATAACCTCAAATATCTGGAACATAGCCAAAAAATTTACAGAAAGCAAAAAGTATCTGAGTCATCAAAATTAGTGTCATAGAGTTCATGGGCAGGAATTAATATTCTTTTTTCATGATAGTTTCTTAGAATCTGGTGACTATTATATACATGGCGCTAGTAAATTTTTAGTTTTTTCTTCAGTTTCCTAGTTGTTAACAGAGTCCCCTTCTAGTGGAGTGAGGTAGTTATAAATGACAAGCATAATCATAGCAGCAAGAACTAACAGCCTGAGAGTGAGGAAGAAGATAGGAAAACAGTAAAATATAGACAAAAGTACTCAAAAACAACTTGAACCCAGTTGCATTTAAGTAGGGACGGACGCTTGGGAAAACTGTGATCAAGTTTGTTTCTTCCAAGTTTCTCTTTCCACTATTTTCTGAGTCCTTTCCCCTTGCTCTCAAAGGCTGCTGTTTTCTCCTTTTTTTCCTTTGTCATAACTTTGTTAAAACTTATTCCCAGATGATTGTAAATTGGGAAGGTTCTGATAAATCCAATTGTGGTTTAAACATATTTTTTTAATGTTCCATGTTGCTTCTTATTTTATTATTTTGGTTTTTCAGCATTGTGCAGTATTGCTTAATTGCTTAACCCAATTGGAAATGTGATGAAATAAATTATTTGTCATTGTTTTGTACCTAAAAATCTGAGTTTATTGTTCAAGAAAAATGCTTAACTGAGAGTTGTTTGTGATTATTTTCTTAGTACATCCAAATAGTATCCAAATAATAGTTTGATTCCAAGTCACAGACCAAGTTCACTTTTCTAGTCAGCTGCGTGGACTATAGATAAGCTTGCCTCAAACACCTAATTACTGACAGAATAGGGAAGATGACTTAAAAGATTAAGTATTGGGCTAGCAGTACATTGTTAGATATTTGGGAAAATAAATTCTTTTAAGGTATACTGTTTATGAATATCCCGTATTAAAGTGATGAAATCAGATTAATTTGACTAGCTCGTGGGCACAAAAAAATCATAGGCTGAAATCCAGCCCCTGAGTCTTTTTAGACTTTATTATTTTCAAAAAGAGTACTTTAAGTACTAACATTTAAATGATCATGTTGCAGTACCTCAGCAGTACCTGAATATGAAGCTATGCTATTTACCAGCATTAGGCAATCTGAAAATGAATGAGTAAAATTGACACATATGGAAAAGGATATTGGAACATACTTTCATTAATTTTTTAAAATTTGGCATTACAAATTTGTTTTATTTTCATTAACTTTTTTTAACTGTTAGAGGTTTGCTTGATATGAATATATGAAGAAGGCTCACAAGCAAATGAAATTTGGATCATTTCCTTTATTTCTGGATGGACAAGTAGCCAAAACCCCACCAAACCTGGCTTCTCTGCTAATAGCTGGTCTGCAGAGCATTGCTTGGATCCTTTGGCAAAATTAGTATTTCTGTTCCCCCATCCCTAAATTTGGAACTTGAATTCTACTTATGAAAAGAGCTGAGTCTGTGGGGCAGTTTCCAAGTCACTAACCACCCAGTTCATTATCTTGCCACACATAACCCAATTTGTTAGACTAGAAGGGAGGGAATGGGTACCTGTACATGGAATCTTCAGTGGAATAAAAAGTACAGGGTGGGGTGAAAGGGGAACAGTGTCTTCTGCATTGGATCTTAGACGAAAAGGGAGAATGGATTTTGTGTATTTCCCTCTTCAGACTCATAGTAACTCGCCATTGGCATATTGTTCAGTCGGTGTCAGCCTCTGACCACTGGGCGGAACAAATAAGGAGAAGGGTAGAAGCTGAGTGTGTTTTCAAGGGAACAGGAGTATTAGCAGAAGTGCTTTCTGTGGGTTGAAGTCAGGAATGCTGAGAGAGGAAAGAATCTTTACCAAAAGCGTGAATGTTTCAGTTACGAAGGCAATTTAAAAACAAATATAAATATTTGTTAAGAATGGCCAAACTGTGGGTGCCTGGATGGCTCAGTCAGTCAAGCATCTGACTCTTGATCTCAGCTCAGGCCTTGGTCTGAGGGGTTGTGAGTTCAAGCCCTGCATTGGGCTTCACACTGGGTGTGAAGCCTACTTTAAAAAATTTTTCGAATAGAATAGCCCAAACTATAATTTTTCACCTTATTTCATTTCTGGGCATTTATGTCTTATGTGTTTAGTCATAGAACAGATGTATGCAGTACTGTATTCAAAATTTATTTCAAGTTATTTACTGTAGCTTTGTGAAGAAGGCTTAAATGATCATATTTTAGTTCTTTTTATAAACAGATAAGGATATGTATCGAAAATATAAAACTTTTAATATATGGTTTCAACTGGTGTGCAGTAGTTTTGTTTTTTATTTTTTTAAAGCTAGTATTTTTGCTTAAAGGCAAATAGCATCTCTTTTCATTTTCTCTTTCATTCTTTGGAGCCATCTCTTTTTCATTTTCTTGGAGTCCCTTTCATTTCCCAGGTTATTCCTTAATATGGTATTTTTGGGGTGAGGGTACGAGTCTCAATTATATATAATAAACAGTATTGGGAAAGTATTAAATGTTTGCCCCTTAGTCATTTTCAGATTGTCTCGAGAAAACATTACAAAATTATGTTTCCCAAATCTAATGGGAAAATCTGTTTTATACTAAAACAATGTGAATGAACATATAGACAAGACTTGAAAAGTTTCTTAGTGTTGTGTGGCATTCAGTGTTACCAGGAACTCTATTGGACTCTACTGCAAATCAAAATAAAGATAAATCCTGTCAGGCAAATGCTAGTTTTGAAATCTAGCTTTTGCTAGATTCATCATTTTGACAGCATGAGTGTATTTTTCTCTATTGTTATTCAGAAACAGATATACAGTTGGCCCTTAAACAAGATAGGAGCTATGAGCACCAACCTCCACATAGTTTAAAATCCATGTATGACTTTTTTTTTTTAATGTTTTATTTATTTTTGAGACAGAGAGAGACCGAGCATGAACGGGGGAGGGTCAGAGAGAGAGGGAGACACAGAATCTGAAGCAGGCTCTAGGCTCTGAGCTCTGAGCTGTCAGCACAGAGCCCGATGCGGGGCTCGAACTCACGGACTGTGAGATCATGACCTGAGCTGAAGTCGCGCACTTAACTGAGCCACCCAGGCGCCCCTCCATGTGTGACTTTTGACTCACCCAAAACTTAACTACTCATAGCCTACTGTTGACCAGAACCCATACCTATAGCATAGTTGATTAATGTATATTTTGTGTGTTATGTGTATTATATGCTGAATTGTTCAAGTAAGCTAGAGAAAAGAAAATGTTACTAAGAAAATCATAAGGAAAAGAAAACACATTTACAGCACTATGCTGTAAACAACCTATATATAAGTGGGCCATGTAGTTCAAAGCCTGTGTTGTTCAAGGGTCAACCGTATTCTTATTTTTGTTGCTTTTTATTAATGTTCTGATTTTAACTAACTTTTCCCTAGTGGCCTCTTCATTTTAGTCTGTATTTCAGAGAATTCGATTGTTGAAGTGTTTAATTTGGATAATTTTTTAAAAGTTATGTGAAAATAAGATGGCTTAGGATGAACTTTTGGGGTTTGAAGATACTTTAGTGCTCATCACCTTATAGATGAGGTAACTGAATCCTAAACGAGTTAAGTAACTTGTTGGTTCATGTGGTGTGAAACTCAGATATCTTAAACCTTGGTCTCAGACTGCATATTTTTTGCTGATGAATTTCAAAACTTTTGCTGAGTGGAAGAAATTTGAAAATCTCAAATTTTGTTCTTTTTGGGTAAATGATTCATTGAGTACAGTAAGCAAGAGCTAAAATTTTTATTATTATTTCCATTTTAACTGTTTAGAAAATACTATTCAATTAGCTGCCCCACAGTTGGATTATTTTAGGGTACTTTGTATCTAACATCTTCCTATAAAAATAGAAAAATGAGGATATTAAAAAGAAATACAGAAACAATAAGATCTTAACTTTCAGAGTGCTTGATAAATTCGTGGAAGAAAATAGTTTCTGTATCTACTTATAGCAGATTAAAACCAAGAGAGATTGAGAAAGATCTGGTTTAACTTCTTTATATCTAATTGGTAATTATGAAGAACCATTTGCAATTACTCCTATTTATACTCTTATTACAGTTCTATTTAAAGAAGTTTGGTCTCAGGTGATAGATTCCTATAACTGATCAGGATTGTAAGATTTATTTTGAAAACAATTAATTGAGAGGTGGAGGAAGAGATTGGGAGAGAAAGGAGCCATATCTGAAGGCAATAAAGTTAAGTGTTGGCAAGGATTTCAAAAAAGATTGAAATAGAAATAGTTATTGAAATTGAAAACAGTGGTACTGAGCAAGGTAATATGGCTAATACTTCTTGAAGACTTTCTAAAATACAGTGCCATTACCCAAAAATCTGAAGATTCTCTGAGGCCTGTTCATAATTCACTAAGTGGAATTCTGTAGATGCAAATAAATGTGTTAGAGATAGAGCAATGGTAAATTCTGAAATCGTTTGGTAATTGGTAAGCAGAGATGTTTAATTGACAGAATGCATCACTCTTGAAAGAGGAATCAAGCAGCATCGTAATGTGTGTCTTTTGGATAGATTTCTGCTTTGGGAGAAGAAATTCCAGAAAAAAATTAAACAATTTTCCAATTTAAGATGTTTCTTGAAATTGGGCCCTTTTAGAGAAGTATCTTCAGAATTTGAGACTTTCTCCCCTTTTTTATCACACAGAGTAACTTTTTCAACCCCTTCTGCATTTACACAGTGTATGTACTGTTAAATTCGAACCTAAATGAAAGAGGAAATGCTGAGTCTTCAGTTTGATGACCTGGGTATGTTTATGTGTAAATACACAAGACAATTTTTCCAACATTATTTGGCTTTTCATATATTCCTTTTCTGGTTTGCCACAAGTAATCTAGTACATTAAATGTAACAAGAAAGCTTTACATGCGTGTGCACATGCATGCACTTGCACAGACACACTAAAAAAACAGCACCGTTACTAAATCAAGTAACTCTAGACACAAAATTGAATCACTACGGTCAGTTTAAAAGACACAGTATTGAGGGCGCCTGGCTGGCTCCATCAGTAGAGCATGCGAATGTTAATCTCAGGCTCGTGAGTTTGAGCCCCACTTTGGGTATAGAGATTACTTTAAAGAAAATGGTTGTAGGGAAATTAAACATATATATTGTATAGTGTTCTTGAAAGATGAAATAAAATCTTAGTTTATTTTTTAAAAAAAGATAGTAATGGTCTTCAGATTGTTGGGTTCTTTGAGAGTGACAGGTAAGTAACATTTCTCTAACCAAGTTCTAAACCAGTTGGGAAATAAGAGAAGACAGTAAAGCTGATAAGCCAAATACCAACAAAACGATACTGGAGAATTTGGCTTATAGCAACGGGTAAGCTTTCTAATACTGAATCCTAGAGTTAGTCAGACTTGCCCACCTAGGTATAGTCAATACAAGGCTATCTCAGTTCTGTGTGTGTGTGAGAGAGAGCCTGTTTCTGTCAAGCTTCCTGCATAGAGGCAAAGAACAGAATATATGTTCTCAGTAGGCAAACAAGTTGCCAGAAAGAGGAAAAGTAACTGAGCTACTTATTTCTAGTTTCTCCTTTCAAACTCATCTCAGATTAAGTCCTTTCACCTCACCTGGAGGAAGAAATAAAGGGAGTCTAGGGGGTAATGGTAGTGGCACTTATCCATATTTAAAGAAACAAGAGGATTCTCCTCTTTCTCTCCTCTGACATTTATATTAAAATCTTTGGTTTGTAATTCTAGCTGTAATGACAGTGGTTTTTAAAAATCATTGTAATTGACTTTCTTAACATTTCTTGTTCCTAATACCAAGGTAGTATCATGACTTGAGACACGTATCAGTGCCACCTAATTGGGTTGTTTCCTGCAGAATGCGGGACTTGGAAAGTCTCTTTAGAAACTTATTAAGGACTAAAATGTCTTTTTGGTTTTAAATTTTTTAAATGTTTATTAATTTTTGAAAGAGAGACAGAACACAAGCAGGGGAGGGACAGAGAGGGAGGGAAACACAGAATCCAAAGCAGGCTCCAGGCTCCGGGCTGTCAGCACAGAGCCCGACGCAGGGCTCAAATCCATGATCTATGAGATCATGACCTGAGCCCAAGTTGGATGTTTAACTGAATAAGCCACCCAGGCACCCCAGGACTAAAATTTCTTGATAAAGGGAAGAGAATGATTAGTATACAAGTCTCACAGTTGATTCTGGTAGTGCTGGTAATGTGTCATATGCTGATGTCCTAAATGTCAGTTCTGGTTTTTTGTGTAGAAAGATATTCAGACCAGGATATTTTGGATGGGTATAAAAATGACCAATACCAAATAAGAACAGTATTAGAACTGAAGAGGAGAGGCAGCAGAAGCATTGCTATATACATCAAATTAGTGTTCAACTAAATTGAATAACTATTAGTATTACCATGTGCCAGGCGTTATGCAAGGCCTAGGATTAGAGTGTAGAGCAAAACAGCTATAGTTTACATTGGATGTATTATTGTTAATTATGGTGGTCAGTGTGGGGGAAAAAAACTTTTGTTAAATATATTACATTCTATGTAAATGTGAAGGGGACAGCAGTTTTTGTGTGTATTTTTCATTGTTTTTCTGTATACTCTATAGCACCAAGTGATAGCTCTTTCTTTCCTAAACTTGTGTTAGCATTCTCAAAAAAAAAAAAAACTAAACTAAAAATACCCAAACATATCTCATGCATAGTAGGTTTAAGTTAGCAGCTTCTGTATCATCTCAGGGAAAGACCCTATTGCTACAAGTATTTCTCTGGTTTCTCCTTGTCTGAATTTTTGTCATTACAACTTTACTCTTTTGGATAAAGGATTGTAGAACTGCAGCCCAGTTTTATATGTTAGCAGGCAAGCTCTCAAAATACAAAGTCTTTGCCCAGGGAAGGCATATAGAGAAAACTTGGAACAACCATGATGAAATGGTGAAAGATCACTGAAGAAAAATTGGAGAACAGATTTGACATGTATAAGAAAACCATTAGATTGCATAGAAATGTGTGCCCCATGAAGGAGATTGATTGTTCTAGTTGAAGAGTGTCAGACTGAATGCAAGTGGAGGTGTGCTTTGATAATCTTAAGGTAAGGAAAAACATTTATAGTCATCTGGAATTAGTTTGAAGTGTTAAATTTTCCTCCTTTTAAGGTGACTTATATGGGGTCTGGATTTCTTTTTTTTTTTACTATAATTCTAACATCACGTTGTGCAAGCTGATATGAACTGTACAGATTTCCTGTAATACATGTTTTGATGACTGTGAAACTAATCTATTCCAGGGTTTATATCCTAACTTTTCTTGCATGTCACTGCCATTGAAACTTGCATGAAAAACACTAACTGCCTTCTTTCTCTTCTCCCTGATTTGCTTCAAGGCTGCCAGACAGATCAAGGATAGGTATGGTATACAACCTACATTTTTATATGTGTCAATATTGAAGTCAGAAATGAAATTCAAGAACAGTTTCTTATTAGACTTTCGTTGGTTAAAATAAAAATACCTAATATCCAAGTATAAAAAAAGAAAATGTCTTCTGCATATCTTCTGGAATAAACAATATATCAGCAAGATTAAAAAAAATTAGTTGTGGGCAATTATGTACTTCCAAAAGAATTTCATTTCTGGTATAATATAGTTAGTTTTAGTACAGTTCTTTAATTAGCTATGAATGGTTGGGAACCCATTTTGGATAATTAAAAAATACATATTTCCTGGAATGTATTTTTTTGTTCATAAATTTTATAATTATGTCTTATTTTCTGAGAAGTCATAGCATTTTTAATAGTCCTCAAGAGCTAAAGCTCTCCTACTTCACTGCTCTCCTGTTTAACACCTTTGTATTCTCATTCCATCCTGTTCCTGGTGCCATCTTTCTGTTTCTCATGCCACTCCTATTTAGTGTGTGGGAAGAGAAAATTAAAATGATGACTTTGTTTTAAGAGGTCTTTCTCATTGATAGAGACAGGATTAAGAAAGGTAAGGTAGTACTGGCTGTAATGAATACACCAAAGGGCTAAAAGAGCTGCTAGCAGTTTTGGATTGGGTTACCACAGAAGGGATGGTTTTGCTCTTCCTGGCTAATCACTACACATTGAATAGTGAGATTATCACTTAAGGTTTATTCCTTTGAGGATTATGAAATTTGCTGAAAGGGGTAGCTCTTCAAAGCACCACTCTGAATCCTAGATTAAATTATTTATTCTTCATCAGATAATTCACAAAATTACTCATCATGGGTTGTGTGAAAACCAGTGTGTCTATTGTTAATCTTGGCTGAAGTCTTCAATTCTGTTTTTCTGATGGCCTATTATTTGACTAGAGGCAAGAGTCACATGCCAGTCTTTAGCACTCTTAGCACAGATGTTAGTTTTTATATATTTTTGGTATATTTTATATCAGGGAGTGATTAAAGACATGGGTCATTCTTATCAATCCTGCTTGTGGAAAGGTGATTATGAGAATTTGAAGGTGAGAAGTATTGACTGTACAAAGGAATGGGTGCTAGATAGGTCAGTTTTTTGGATAAGGTAGAATTGGGTTGTATCTGCTGGAATTCGGTACGAGTAATCCATCTTTCAGTGTGGCTAGATCATTCTCTTTAGCCACCTACTCCACTCTCCACTCTGTCTTTCCCTGGTCTCTGATTTTCTGGATTAGAAGTCATTTCCTAATCAGGCTTTTGGCTATCCAAAGACTTTTTATGAGAGCCCTTGCAAGATCTTCTTTTGTTCCTCTCCTAGGAATCTATATGGTTCTGTGCTTCCAAGAATCCTTTTCTTACCCCTTACCTCTTTCTCTGTCCAGATATGTTTGTCAGAATTTAATGCTCATTTTTCATGGCTGAATGCAAAGCTTTAGTGAAGCTTAACTTCTTTGCCCCTCGAAGCCTACTTCTTGGCTTGATTTCATCAGTTTCTGAGTGATATCAGCAGTCAGGGTTCCTTTTCTCTGTCAAAGCACATTTTTTTTTTTTTTTGATCAAAGTCTATACATTATTTATTTTGGCTACCTACAAAATTTTTACTCACTGCCTGAGAACTTCTGGGTCTTGGGCTTAATGTTTTAAAACTTCATAATGTCCAGGTTTCTCTGATATAGATATTAGGTGCTCTCTCAGGAAACAAGCTTCTAGAATTCCATCATTGCCATTTATGATATAAAAATAATTTAAATATATAGTCAAAATAAAACAGTTTCTATTGAGGGAAGAAGTGGCATTTTAAGGAAAAGTGTGTACCATACCTGACCAGGGAATCAAGTATATACAATTGAAAGGGAATCAAGTATATACAATTGAAATTGAATATTTATCATTTGTTGTGATAGAGGTTATGCAGGAGAAACAGTGAGAGTGACAGTTAAAAATAGCAACTGAAATGAAAAGATAATACACATCAGATCTCTGTAACTTTACAGATCACTAGTATGTACTTCTGGGTGCTTTTAGTAATGTTGTAAGATGATTAGTTGAGGTTTGTTGTGGATTTCTGGTTCTTGAAAGAAAGGGATCTTGAAAGGGTAGGTCAAGTTAATTAGGTAGATACTTTGAGGAAATGAAAGTGCTCATGCATATGTTTTGCAGTTATTTTGTCTTTGTAAAAATAAAACTAAGGGGAAAGGATCCTTATATTCAGCTTGTATTATAGGAAGTAAACCAAGAAAATCAAGGTGAATTAAAACAGTCCTGATCACAAGGATCTTGTAATGTAGAGAATTATCTAGGATTGTAGATTGTTGGTTTGGGCTTTCAGACACAATGGTCTAAATTTATTCAGTTTAAAAGTAAAAAATTTGTTCAGTCTTTTGAAAGATTATAGCATTGTTGTACATCTGTGTTGATTTAAGGAGACTGAAATCTTCATTGACCAGAAAATAAAGGTTATTCTTGTTTTTTAGGTTTTGATAGACCTTTCTAATGTACTTTTGGGGGACATTCTTTTTCTTTGAGGCCATAGTGATTAAAATCAAGTTTTGTAGATAAAGTTTCAGATTTAAATTCCCTAAAATACTTTCGGATACTTTTTTTGAATAGTTCTCAAAAAACATTTAAATAGGTTTAGAAGCATCCAAGTAGGTTCAAACCCATTTATTGATTCAGTAGTCATTTACTAAGTACCTATCTGAATATAGCTCTTTCAAAAGTCTTCAAATCACAAGATACTTGGGGCAGTAAAGAACAAACTAAGTGGGGCACCTGGGTGGCTCAGTCGATTAAGCATCCAATTCTTGATTTGGCTCATGTCATGATCTCACAGTCACGAGATTGAGCCCCTCTTAGGCTCTTTGCTGGGCATGGATCCCACTTCAGATTCTCTCTCTCTCTCCCTCTGCCCTTCCCACTCACATGCACACTCTCTACAAAAATAAATAAATAAAAGAACAAAGTAAGACTGAGCCTTTGTTTCTAACTTTTTATTGATATCACCTGAAATTTAAGTATTGAGAACCAATAACTTAAAGTAATGTGTGTGAAATATTCAGCATTGTGCTTGGTATTCAGTGAGTTCCCTTTCCCATAAATTGTATTTCACTATAGCACATTCTTCTTGATCAATAGATCAGCTGTCATTGTTATTAATAAAATAATTACTTTCTTAGTTAAAAAAAATTTTTTTTAACGTTTATTTATTTTTGAGACAGAGAGAGACAGAGCATGAATGGGGGGAGGGGCAGAGAGAGAGGGAGACACAGAATCGGAAGCAGGCTCCAGGCTCTGAGCTGTCAGCACAGAGCCCAATGCGGAGCTCGAACTCACAGACCGCGAGATCACGACCTGAGCCGAAGTCGGACGCTTAACCGACTGAGCCACCCAGGCGCCCCTACTTTCCTAGTTTTAAAATGAAGTAAACTAACTGAATACAGCATCCGTTTGACATTTTTTATCCCAAAATAACTGAAGATAGCAAGTTTGATATCTTCCCATACCACGTATCTCTGGGTAGATTTGGCAGATTTGAATGACTAGGCCCAGTATTCCCTTTGTTCCTCAGCTCTATTTACTTCTCCCAAATTGTGTACTAGCAGGACATCATCCGTGAATAGTACTTTTGTATCATTCTTTGACCAAAGATGATAAGGGGTGTTACTTTGTTATACTTGTGGAAACTTATTGTAAAAAAAAAAATTGAAATTTGAGATAAAATGGCAAATTAATAGAATATAAGAATTTCTTTTAATCTCCAGTTTTAATTGACAGAACAGTTCCCCCATACTTTGTGTAAAATGAAGTCTGGTATGGCTTCTTTCTTTTTTTGTTTTGTTTTTAATACCATATTCATCTAATAATGTGTATTGGACTGTTATTTCCATGGCATATGGTTTCACAAGGCTGTTTCTCCTTATATCCTTCCGTTTAGCTGATTTTGATGCATCACAGCGACACCTACTAACATGGTTTTCAAAATTGTGATTTCACTTCTCTCCTTTCTCATCCGTGGCCCATCTTTAGCAGCTGCCAGGTGCACAATATTTGGTCAGTGTACTTTTACTCTTATTTGAGGATACATGGAGTAGTTGTGACTACTAAAGAGAGCATGCAGTTCATGATCTGGCACGTGAGAAGGGGTGAGGTTGGCATCAGGAAGTCAGTGAGATTGAGCGTACAGAGGCTCAGATCCCTGTTGAGTCTGCTAATGATGATTTTATATGGGATATTTTCTCTTGAGATATTTTTATTTGTGTACAATTTTATAAAACTGGCTGGAGGAAAGTTGCTTTAAGTTATATTTGAATGTCTAAAATTAAAAACATTTTACAGTTTTTTATTTAGTTAATTTTCGAGAGACTCTGAGAACAAATTTATTTTTAGCTTTGTTACCTTTGTTATAGTTTCTGATATTACTAAAGTGAAATAACTTCTGTCTTTTCATTTATAAATTAAATATGGTATACTCCCCATTCTTTTATTTTTAAAAGTATATTTTTGTTTACCATAGAGTAACAATGGCTTCAGCCTTTCGCCTTTCTTTGAAACCAAAGGTCAGTGACAACATGACTCATTTAATGGTGGATTTTTCTCAGGAAAGACAGATGCTGCAAACTTTGAAGTTTTTGCCAGGTAAGTATATATATATATATATATAATGTAATGTATGGTGGTTTTTTTGGTAATGAACTTTGAAATGTATATATTAAAGAAGTGTAATGTGGAAATTTTTTCTTTTTTTTTTTTTTAATTTTTTTTTTAACGTTTTTATTTATTTTTGAGACAGAGAGAGACAGAGCATGAACGGGGAGGGGCAGAGAGAGAGGGAGACACAGAATCAGAAGCAGGCTCCAGGCTCTGAGCCGTCAGCACAGAGCCCGACGCGGGGCTCGAACTCACAGACCATGAGATCGTGACCTGAGCTGAAGTCGGACACTTAACCGACTGAGCCACCCAGGCGCCCCATGGAAATTTTTTTCTTTAATCAGCGAAGGAATAATTAAATTTCCTAGTCTTTACTTTTAGAGAATTACTTCCGTGGTAGTAAAAATTCTGTTTTAAGAATCCGTCAAAGGGATATCTTTTATTGCTAGTTTGGCAGAGAGAAGCAATGATAGTTAACAGTGAGTTTTAGGGCCAGACTTAGATTTGAATCCTGGCTGCCATTTACTTGCTGTGAACCTTGAACAAATTATTTAACTTTGCTTCATTTTTTTCATCTATAAAATGTGATGGTATTCTTCTAGGGTTTGTGTAAGGATTAAATGAATTGAAATCTCTAAATCTCTTGAAAGGAGTACCTGGCACATAGTAAACACTCAGTGCATATTAGCTGTTGTAATTACCAGTATAGTTGTGGTTATTGGCTCAGATGACATTTTATTTCCAGTAATAACATGTTAACATTGGTTTATTAGAATATTAGTATGAGGATATTTCAGTAGCCAAAACCATTTGAAATTGAGTCTCAAATTATTTTCCACATATGTGAGAGAGCCAACTAGGGACCTTTTGGCTAGTATTCTCTTTTTAGCTCACATCAAGTGATGGTGTTAGGCTGGTAGCTAAAACAGTTTGGACATGGTGGATTGAAGGAGCAAGTGCTTTTTTACTTACTTACAGGTGCTTTTTACTTACAGGTTCTAGTTAGAACTGACCTTTAGTTTTTGGAGGTTAGCTGAAAAGATAGATTAGTAGTCATGAAACTATAATGGAACTAATAAAGGTAGCATAAGTGAAGTACAGTAAAACCTTGGATTGTGAGTAGCTTGTTCTGCTAGTGTTCTGCAAATGAGCAATGATTTCTAATAAATTTTAACTCGATAAATGAGTGATGTCTTGCAATACGAATAGTGTGTGACCCCAAATGTCACATGATCACAACTGAGCCAATAATTCTTGAAATTCGCCTTGATCTACGGGTGCTATAGATTACAAGCATGTTCCTGGAACAAATTATGCTCACAAGCCAAGGTTTTACCGTATTAACTTGTGTGGGCCAGGTCAGAAGTTGTAAGTAAGTTTATAGAAGGAAAAGATGAGAGAAGGAGCCATAGATGTAGAAGAAGAAATGATACTTCAGGATACTACAGGATATCTACCTGTAAATTGGCCTTTCAGAATTACTATTGTCATTCATACTACTTTCTTTAATTAAAAAAAAATTTTTTTAGTGTTTATTTTTGAGAGAGAGAGAGACAGAGTGTGAGTTGGGGAGGGTCAGAGAGAGAGAGAGGGAGACACAGAATCCGAAGCAGGCTCCAGGCTCTGAGCTGTCAGCACAGAGCCCGATGAGGGGCTCAGACCCATGAACCATGAGATCGTGACCTGAACTGAAGTCAGATGCTTAACTGACTGAGCCACCCAGGTGCCCCTACAATTCTTTTATAAACAAGATTTTAAAAATACATAGAAAATATCTTAAATTATTATAATCATTGGATTCAAAGCAAGTTATTCTATTTTGTCAGTAGTGATTTCATCTATATTCTATAGCTGTTTGAAGTAACAGATTAAAAAATATGTGTTGAGAAGTAACAAGTCATTGTTGGTTCTTTATCCTTAGCATGTTCGAATTGCTTTTTGCCAAATAAGATTTTAATAAATCTTGAATACGTCTGTGAAAGAACTTTGAAACGAATTTTTAAATGGAACTTGGAAAAATAGTTACTTTGCATTTATAGGGTATCCTTTCTTGTAGCCTGATTCAATGGAACCATTCAAAAGCAACTTGAAGAAAGCAGTTTGAATGACAAACGTGAATATTGGATTAGTACTGTAGTAAATGAGAAATGAGCCTGTATTTTTCTTTCAGTTCCTAAAGCTCCAGAGATAGATCCAGTAGAGTGTTTGGTGGCTGACAATTCTGTAACAGTGGCTTGGAGAATGCCAGAAGAAGATAATAAAATTGACCATTTTATACTGGAATATCGGAAAACTAATTTTGATGGACTTCCACGTGTAAAGGATGAGCGATGCTGGGAGATAATTGATAATATTAAGGGTACTGAATATACACTATCAGGTAAAATGACTGCATTTTATGAATTTCTCAGAAAGTAAATGTAATTGTGAAGAATATTTTGAGTTACTTTAGATATTTTTTTTAAGTTTTATTTCTCTTTTTCAAAGAGAGCAAGAGAGCACGCATGAGCTCATGGGAGGGGTGGAGAGGGAATCCCAAGCAAGCCTGTGCCGTTAGCATGGAGTGTGATGCGATGCTCAAACCCACAAACCCGAGCTGGAATCGAGTCAGAGGCTTAACCAACTGAGCTACCCAGGCTCCCGTTGAGTTACTTTAGAAGATGAAATTAAGTTACTTTAGCCAGGTTTTTTCTATATTTGTTATAGAAGTGAATTTCTCTTATAATATCAGGAAAACTTTCATTTTAACTCCTTCCTGATATTTTCAGTTTGTTAAAACAATGTATGTAAAACAAACATGAAGGAGTGTTTTGGAAACAATATTTCAGAATAACATCAATTTTAACCTTGGTTTTTTTTTCTTTTGTTTTTTATTTTTTTAAATGTTTTTATTTATTTTTGAGACAGAGACAGAGCATGAGCAGGGGAGGGGCAGAGACAGAGGGAGACACAGAATCCAGAGCAGGCTCCAGGCTCCGAACTGTCAGCACAGAGCCCGACGCGGGGCTCAAACTCACAGACTGTGAGATCATGACCTGAGCCGAAGTCAGACACTCAACCGACTGAGCCACCCAGGCACCCCTAACCTTGGTTTTTTAACAATAAAAAAGCTGTCAACTTTTTAGGTGTACGTACTACCCCTGCATTTCAGTGGTTCTATAAATACTGTTGCTTTTACCTTTTTATGATTATCTTCACAGTAATACTTACAGAGCTATGACTTGGTATTAGAAATTTGTGTGTTAGCCTTTTCTTTCAAAAGGTGTCTCTATGTATAGGGGACTTTGGCTATTTTAAGTAGCCATATATTTCTGGAGTAGTTCAACACTTGTTACGCATGAGCAGTAACATTACCATTGTTGAGCACTTACCACTTGTCAGCTGGGCTGAAGTGTATTACATAATACGTCTCATTTAATCAGTATAGTACATCTCATTTAATCTTTATAATTATGAGGTTGGTTTTATCATTTTTATTTTACAGATACAAAAACTCGTTCTGTCAAGTTGTTGGTGGTCCCTTAGCTAGTAGTTTTTGGACTGAAGTTTTAAAGACTTTATTATTTTTCCAAAGTAATCTCTACAACCAGTGTGGGACTCGAAGTTATAACTCCGAGAACCAGAGTCGCATGCTCCACTGATTGAGCCAGCCAGGCATCCCACGGACTAAGATTTTAATCTAGACGTGACTAACTTCAGAGTTTTACTGTTAATCCCTATGCTTTACTTTCTCTTTAAATTCATTTTTCACATAAAAATACAGTGTTTCATAAATATTAAAATTCTTTAGGGTGTCTTCTTTCCAGAAATTGAGTATGTTACTTTAAATTGTAGGGGCGCCTGGGTGGCTCAGTCGGTTAAGCGTCCGGCTTCGTCTCAGGTCATGATCTCATGGTTCATGAGTTTGAGCTCCATGTCTGGCTCTGTGCTGACAGCTCAGAGCCTGGGGCCTGCTTCTGATTCTTTGTCTCCATCTCTCTTTGCCCCTCCCCTGCTTATGCTCTGTCTCTCTCAAAAATAAATAAAACATTAAAAAAAAATTTTTTTAAATATGTCATTTCTCCTAGAATGAGACATTACTTTTAACTTGAGAATACCATTTTATCACTAGGTTAAAAAAGAAAAAAACATTGATTAAACTGTATTATTTATATTTATTTTGAAGAAAGTAAGAAATAAATCATGATTCCTCTTATTTTTGGCATTACCACTGTTTTAACATAAATTTATACTCTTGTGGAGTAAAGAGAGAGTTCTCAAGAGGGAATATGTCTGTTTGAAGGTTCATACTCCTACTTTGGGAGTAGATCCCTTTAATTTTCATATCTGAAAACCATTTTCATTTTTTCAGGCTTAAAGTTTGATTCAAAGTATATGAATTTCAGAGTTCGAGCTTGTAACAAAGCTGTAGCTGGAGAGTATTCTGATCCAGTGACTCTAGAGACCAAAGGTAAGATTGTAGATATTTATACAGCATAAAACAAAACTTAACATCCGAAGTTATTCAAGACTGGGACAGGAAGCATTTCATGTATGGTAGCATTTCTTCCCTATGGTGTGTGCATGCACATACATACTTGGAATTCTCAGTAGTAGGAATTTTAAGATGGGGAAATTAGGACTATACTATTGGTTTTCATTAGTTCTTCTTTTATGATGGTATTCAAATAGGTAAAATAGACTGAGGTGATGGCATTGGATCCTGTGGTGTGGGTGCTTTACAAATTGCAGTCTAGTATGAATACATAGGCATCAGTGAGATTTGCCCACAGATTTCTCAGGGAATGGATTATGGCTCAATAATGGGGAAGTACCATTTCAGTTTAGTTCACGTACTCTCTGTTTTCTTAAACCTTATTGTAGAAATTAACATTTGTATATTTTATTAATGTTTACAAAGCACTCTCACACTTTTCCATTTGATCATTAAAACCATCTTGAGGGATCGGTAGTTTAAATATTATTGATACCCATTTTGCAGATGAAGAAAGTTTACATATGTTAAATGACTTGCCCACAATCCCTAGAACTAACTTGAAAAGGTGTAAAGAATCTGTTCCCAAATTCTGTGCCAACCCTTACTGTGGGCCTAGAACCAATTCAGATTTAGTTAAAACTCTCTAGAATAACATATTTCAACATGGAACATTTTTGAGGTATTTACCATTTGGAAGGCCATAATGCTAGAGATCTTGTCATTTGTGAGATGGTAATTGACTGGATTTACCGCAAGAATCAGATTCTACACACTGTTGAGGTACTTCGGCCTTTAGGGGTTCCACTGACCTTCAGTTCACATAGCATTTGAATAGGTTTGTGTGCCAGAGTTTGATATGATTTGGAAGTGATATAAAAATATTATATCAGAATAGGTGCACCTGGGTGGCTCCGTTGGTCAAGTGCTGACTTCGGCTCAGGTCATGATCTCACGGTTCGTGAGTTCAAGCCCCGCATCGGGCTCTGTGCTGACATCTCAGAGCTTGGAGCCTGCTTCAGATTCTGTGTCTCCCTCTCTCTCTGCTCCTAACCCACTCGTGCTCTGTCTTTCTCTGTCTCTCAAAAATAAATGAACATTAAAAAAAATTTTGTTTAAAAATACTATATCAGAATAAAGCAAAATGTGAAGGCTGTAAATTATTGACAAGACAAATTCAAAAGAAAATGTTTGCATCATAAAGGTAAAAAAACTAAATTGAGTAATTTTTTTGGATTAGCTAATGTTTTTATTGGAGAACTATAGATAACTCAGCCAAGAAATGGTTACTCTGAATTACTTGTTATTAAACTGATACATGACTGTGATTTCTTGAGAGATTTTAACCATTTCAAGGTATAGTTATAGATAATCTTTACACAACTTGAACTGTTTTGAGCCCTGTCAGGTAAAACTGCATTGTTACTATTATTCTTCCTCAGAAGTATTGTATCTTTTTATTTCTTTTGTTTCTTCTCCTTTACCCTTTATATTTAGTCACCAAACTTGGACCTGTACATTTCTATGCAAATTCTACAGATTCAGGAGAATGTTTCCTTGGCGCTGGGCTGGCTGGTCCTGTTGGCAGGGTCTGGATCTTAGTAGTCAAATTCTTGATCTTGGTGTTCGTAGAGTTGCTTTTAGTCTTTTTAAGAGTTCTCACTGGGTAAACCCCCTGGGGTGGGGATAGACTGAAACTCAACCCTGAGGCCCACTAAACATTTAATTCTGACCTTCAGGGAGACCCAGAATAAAATTTGTCTCTTAAATAGCTATAGACCACAGCTTCTCTAAGGGTTATTCCATATCACTGGACTGGTAACTAATGAGGGCAAGAGCTCCAGAGGAAAAGTGTAGATGTTAAAAAAATGACATGTTGAACAATTGCTTGCTAGTTTTTTTGGCTTGCTGTAGTGCTTTTTGACCAACCATTGAAATACAGGTATGGAGCAGAGAATTGGAGGAAAAGGGAGAGAGCTGGAAGTTAAATAGTTGAAGCCTACCAGAATTTGATATCCTGTCTTTTAATGGTGCTTGATGTGGGAAATAGTGAACATTATTAATTTCTGTCTCCAATGTATGTAGCACTGTTCTTGTCATTGGGATTGTCACATATGATGAATATTGAAGTTCTAATTAACGGAATTTTTCTGTGGTTTATCCCTTCCTTTTAATGGTAAATGATATGATATTAATCACAAATTACTCTCTAGTTTCAAATGATAGTGGCTATGGTGTAATTTTAGAGTACCAAGAAAGCAGCTACCAATACAAATACATGAAACATAGTGGTACTTTGATATTTTGGTACTTTGTTTTCACAGACTTAAAGATATGGAAACTAATTCCTAGTTCTATTACAGAGATGATATGAGAGGCAGGACTGATGTTTGAGACCTCACTTTTGAGGACTGATGTGTTTTTTTCTTTTAAACAACACAGTATCCCTGTTAGCTTAGAGAGGCTCCATGACTTCAGAGGTCCCAGAAAGGGGATAGTGTCCAAAAAAAAAAGGGGGGGGGGCAAGGAGATAGATTAAAGATTATACCCCTGGGATGGAAGCCCATGCCTTCCTGTCTGCATGTTGTGGTATTTAGTAAGTCTAGTCTCAGGTAGCTTGGAAGGGACACCTTTTCTTGCCACTCATGACCCCATCCTTCTTCATCACATTAAACATTAGGGAACAGTCTTAGGATTTTTTTCTTACCTTTTTTTTTAAACAGCCTTAGGATTGTAACAAGTGGCTGAGAATTGATAGCACCTTAGAGTTATAATTTACTTTTTATTTCTGTCCAGAGTAGGTACCCTCACATGTATTACCTAATAGCTAATATAGAGGTTAATTAACGCTGTTTTTAAAATTTATTTATTTATTTTTAATTTTTTTTAATGTTTATTTATTTTTGAGAGAGACAGAGACAGAATGCGAGTGGGTTAGGGGCAGAGAGAGAGGGAGACACAGAATCGGAATCTGAGCTGTCAGCACATAGCCCGACGCAGGGCTCGAACTCATGAGCTGTGAGATCATGACCGGAGCCGAAGTTGGATGATGCTCAACTGACTGAGCTACCCAGGCGCCTTAACCCTGTTTTTTTAATTAATTAATTATTTTTTTTTTTTTTTTAGTATTCTCTACACCCAACATGGGGTTCAAACTCATGACCCCAAGATTGAGTCTCATGCTCTTCTCACTGAACCAGCCAGGTGCCCCAACCTTTTTTTTTTTTTTTTTTTTTTTTTTTAGTTTATTTATTTATTTTGAGAGAGTGCATAAGCACACATAGGGGAGGGGCAGAGAGAGAGAGAGAGAGAGAGAGGGAATTCCAAGCAGGCTCAGCACTTTCAGCGTGGAGCCCAATGTGGGGCTCAAACTCATGAACCATGAGATCGTGACCTGAGCTGAAATCAGGAGTCAGACGCTTAACTGACTGAGGCACCCAGACGCCACAGCCCAACCCTGTTTTCTTAAGGCATTTCGTTCTTGGTAGTATAGGATCTCAAGTTTGCTTAATCCTAACTTTTTAGTCACCTACCTATGAGGTAATTATTAAGTGCCTATTTAGTAACCTGCTTATTAAGGAGTTTTGTTTACATTTTTACTGAAAGACTGTATTTTTTTCTGTAAGTTCATTTTTGTTTACATGCAAATTTTGAAAAGCTAGTAACTTATATAGTATATTTATTAGAAGCAGTATGGTCAGTAGATTTGTATTTACAATGTTATTTTATAATTAAAGACAATGAACAATGGGTCAGATGCATAGTTGAAATTAAAGTGTACTTTACAGAACAGTGAAGGAAAAAATTTTTAATCTACTAGGTAAACATTAGGCTTTTTATATGAATATTTTATTGTTTGATGATGCATACTTCATAGACAGAAACATTGAAGCTTTGGCTAAATCAAGTAATATCCTTAAGTGAAATGGGGTTGTAAAGGAAGTACCACTTCAATGAGTAATTACCAGAAATTTGAACTTTTGAAGGAAAGTAGAACTAAGAGAAGCAGATTAGTTGGTAACTATGTAGTATATGATACCTTGCTTAAGGCAGAGATTCTAGGCATTGTATTTTAGAATATGAGGAGTCTGCATTACTCAGCTTAATCAATATATTTTAATGATTTACCATCAATTTCCAAAGAGAGAAGATAATACCTTGTTACACTGATTTCCTAAAGTAGGAATTCTGAGTAAGTTTTCTGAGTAGGATAGATAGTTCCCCCAAATACCAAATAATTTAAAAAACAGTTTTGTTTCATTTTTTTAAATTATTTTTAAAATTTGAGTACAGTTGGCACAATGTTACATTAGTTTTAGGGGTACAACATAGTGATTCAACTTCTCTGTAGCTCCCCCAAATGTAGCTACTATCTGTCACCATATAATGCTATTCCAGTCCCAGTTACTATATTCCTTATGCTGTGCCTTTTTCCCCCATGACTTTGTTTTCGTGTATTTTGATTTGTTTTCATTTAAATAGTCTTTTCCCCATCTCTTTGCCATGTAAGTCACCTCTAGCTCTATCAGCTGGCTCGGTTTCCTTGTTCCTGTGCCTATTTCTGTATGCTTTTTTTTTTTTTTAATGTTTATTTTCAAGAGACAGAGAGACAGAGAGAGACAGAGTGTGAATGAGGGAGGGGCAGAGAGAGAGGGAGACACAGAATCTGAAACAGGCTCCAGGCTCTGAGCTGTTAGCACAGAGCCCGATGCGGGGCGTGAACTCACAAACCGTGAGATCATGACCTAAGCTGAAGTTGGATGCTTAACTGACTGAGCCACTCAGGCACCCTCTCTGTGCTTTTTAATTCAAAACTACTGAGAGTTTAAGTATGAAACTATTAAGTATTAGAGCATCAGAGAAAATGTGTATGTGCCAGGCTGTGTAATTTTTTATACCACATCACTTTTTCTCCATCCTCAATTCCACCGGCTCCTCTTCCTATTTAGTTATAACAGTCAACTGATAATCAACTGATATTCTAATAGCAGAAAGTTGAGATTATTATGTGCTGATGGAGATTCCAGCAGAAGGAATAGCAGAAACACCAGAGGCCATGCAAGTACATTGTATTTGGTTGGAGCTACAGGATATGTAGAGAACAATAATGGGAAATAAAATAGGAGTTAGTAAATTACAGCCTTAACTTTGGGGACTTTAAATGCCAGCTAGCATTAGGAATTTGAACTTTATTCTCTTATCTATGGTATTGAATAAACTAAGTAGGAAAATAATGTGGTGATAGTTGTGCTTCAGAATGTGGAGATGTTCTATATTTTTTAAAAATTGAAATCTTATTTTGGATAGCACTAAACTTCAATTTGGATAGCTCATCATCCCATTTGAACCTGAGAGTTGAAGATACCTGTGTAGAGTGGGATCCTACAGGAGGAAAAGGTCAAGAAAGTAAAATGAAAGGAAAAGAGAATAAGGGCAGGTAAGCTAGTTTATTAAATGTTAATCTGGACACGTACTTGTACATTGATTCTTATTTGACAATAACTTATGATGAAATTCTTATTCTATATATCAGTATAATTTGTGATGTGTTAGTAACATTGAAGTGAAGAATATAATACTGTTTATGAGTACTTGAATTTGTTATAACATTTTCATTACTCTTTTCCCTGATCTTCTTTTTACACATTTTATTTCAGTATTCCATTTCCTTAAAGTTGTATCTACGTAACTTGAACTGCTTAAGAGAGAAGTTCCTGAATTTTAGACTTATAGATCTCCTGTCTTACCTGAAGGTCTGCATGAAATGACAACTTTTAGCAATACAACCCCATTGTCTTGCCCCTGATTAGCAACCTTATGAACCAAAGAGGAAGGCTTTGGACCTTTTGCTGTCAGTCTTACTTAGACAGTCTCAAAGTATGCCTTTTTTAACAGAGGAAAATTTTGCTCAAACTGGAATAAAGTAATAATCACCGTGAGTTACAACAGTGAATCAAAAAAAAATTCTCAGCAGGCTTTTGATCTAATTTAATTATAAGCTGTTACATTTAAGTTGTAAAGCATTCTCTTAACAGTTGCCTATTTTTATCTAACAGTGTCCATGTTACTTCACTGAAGAAACATACAAGGTGATGATCTATGTGTGTCTGGTTCTAGGACTTAGTATATCTAGCTTGGCTGAATAACTTTAATTTTTCTTTTAACCAATAAGCAGAAGCCATTGCATCAGTCTTCGTAGGCTAAAATATTGCTCTGTGTAGACTGTCTGTATTGGTAGCTTATGTTTTGAATTTACAGCACTGTAGTATGCTGCATACTATTTGGATTATATTGTATATGGTAACAAAACAATGAGCCCTGCTTTTGAAGTCTTTCTTGAGTTTTTTTCCCTCATCTGATTTTTTTCTGCATTTACTTATACCTGGCATCTTTCTTGTGCTATAGTCAGTATATCTAACATTACAGCTTTGCTTTTATTTGTATTTGACATGAGGGAGGTTTGACGTGTTCTATATTGTATAATAATTATACAGTTTCAAAAGCATTTAAGAAATAAAGGTACTCAAGTTAAGACAGTGCCCAGAAAGATGAATCGGTTCAAATTGCATGGTTAATAATGTGCTGATTTGAAGATACCACATATCTTTACCAGAAACCAGAATGTGTTACTTTTTCAAAATTACCTTCTTTTATTTTTTCTAGCTTATTTGCTCATTATTAGTGAAAGTGACTTCAGAGTTGGAATATTATAAATTGTAAAATGTTGCTGAATTTAATCGAGTGTATGAAGTTTCATTTGGTTCCTTGGAGATTTTTAGAGTGTTTGTATTTAGCAGTTCAGCTCATATTACTTCTCTTTCTCCTCTCCTTTTTTTTCTCCTCTCCTTTAAAGGGTATTTTATGTATGGAGTACTTCTGGAATGATACGCACATTTATTCTTTCCATTAATATTTATTCACTGTAGATGTTAGCTGGATGTGGTAGAGTTTGTAGGAATAAACACTCTTCTTGTCTTTAAGAAATTGGCCCTAACTTACATGTATGAGATATATATCTATATATAAGTAACAACACAAGGTAGAGATTATGGGTAATGGTAAGTGTGACAAAAGGAGTTGAAGAAGAAAGATAGCCTGAGCTGCCAGATATTAAAGTGGTCAGTTAGACAGTGCCAGGTATTAAAGTGGTTCACTGTCTAACTTTCTACCTGATTTCTAACTTTCTACTTGATTGAAAGTAACAATCAAGCCTTTATTCACTTACTATGATAGTTTAAGCAAGAGGCCACAAAGGAAAGAGTGCTAGCTCTTCTCAGTGTTCCGTTTTTCCCAGCAGAATATCACGGGTGAGGGTCAGGTAAATCAAAGCAGATTGCAGACGGTGGTTATCTGGAGGATCATCTCACTGCCAAGAGAGCCCCAAACAGAATGCTCTTCCTGTTGTTTTATGGACCTGTGGCCAAGAAGGAGGGAGAAGAGGCAAGGTTAGAGGTGGAAAACTATTGAGATTGAATGGAGAGAAGTATCTTCAGACCACATCAACTCACACCGCTTCTTTTTTTTTTTTATTTTTATTTTTATTTTTTTTTTTTCCAAACGTTTATTTATTTTTGGGACAGAGAGAGACAGAGCATGAACGGGGGAGGGGCAGAGAGAGAGGGAGACACAGAATCGGAAACAGGCTCCAGGCTCTGAGCCATCAGCCCAGAGCCCGACGCGGGGCTCGAACTCACGGACCGCGAGATCGTGACCTGGCTGAAGTCGGACGCTTAACCGACTGCGCCACCCAGGCGCCCCTCACACCGCTTCTTTAAGGAGGTCTACTCAGAAGCAGCTGAAAAAGTCTTAGCTGAAGACCCCCTCTCCCATAAGGGGGTCTCTGAATAGAGGTGCCTAAGCTAGGAATGCAGATATGCATAGGATCTCTGGGTTGGGGTGGGGGAGGATTACATCTTCCTTAAGAAATTGTGGTGAACTAACTATATACCAAGTCTGGTATGGGAAAGGCAGCCCTCTCAGGCCTGTCACTAAAAGCGTTTTATAATCATTTATGGTTCAGCCTGAAAGATTACACATAGGATTTTGGCCTGGAGGTGGATTCCTCAGCAGAGTTATTTAGCCTGGTAAGATCTGGAAGATCTTCATTAAAGGAATGGCATTTAGGCTGGTTCTCAAGGAAATGGAAAAACACGTGCCATTTGGCCTTACATAAACTAGAGGAAAAGCACTGAAGCAGGTTGCCTGATTTTAAGGAACACTGCTGCATTTAGCTGAATAGTGCTCTCTCGGGTGAGAAGGCTAGAAAAGCAGACTAGGACCAAATCAAGAAGTACCTTAAATCCAAAGCAAAGTTGTTTGTAGGCAGTAAGGAAGTGCTTGAAGATTTTAAGGTAGCAGTATCAAACTGAGGTTTATGTGGTAACAGTGAATAAGATGAATTAGGTGGCAAAGAGATCATTTCAGAAGCTAGTAAAACAATCTAGAGGGCAGGTAAACAAAGAGTCTTAATTTACACAGTAGAGCTGCAAAGGTGTCTTAAAGGGGTGAGGTGGGAGGGGATTGTGTTTGACATCAGACAGTAATAGCTGTTGTACTTCTTGCAAAAATGGACTTTGGGTTGGAAGTCTAGAATGCTGCAATGGAAGAGTTCCCCTTATTTAACTTTTCTCTGAAATGTAAACTGCCACTCTTAATAGTTATGCCTGTTTGTCTTTTCTCCATGCTTTTCCCTTTATTTCTTTACTACTGGTAAGTTACAATTTTTTACTGTTTTTTAAATACAGGGATTCAATATAATTGAAATGTTATTTTTAAACATCTTTGGGTCTTGATTTGTTTTGAGTTTTTGAGATTTAGTGAAAGGCCTAGTACTGTCCCATTTATCCTATCATATAATTCGACATAAGGGGAGATCAGGTTGAATCTTGTAGGAGAAATGCTTTATAATATTTGATATTATCCTATGCATGGATTTGGGCATTGACTATTTCTCTTTTTTACGAAGAAAAGATTCAGAACAAAAATACTTACTGCTTATGAAAAGGTTATTTAGTTTTTATCATAATAAGATTATTTCTGCCATTTTAAAATTTAAATTTAACTGCAAGAAATGTAAGCTCTATAATCCATTATCTTTTTTGAATTCTTTTTTCCCTTCAGTTCTTTTGTTTTCCTTTTTAACTTGTCTCATTTTGGCATTGTTTCTTATTTCAACTGTGTGTTCTTTGTATAAGCTTTGTTCAGTCTGCATGATATTAGTGTTCAGCCTGCTTTGTGTTGATGACTTCTTACATTTCAGTGTTTTTAATTGACAACTCTGATAATAATTCAGATGAAATTAAATGGTGCTATTTGTGCAACGTAATTAAAACTTTTCAAAGTTGCCTTTCATGACTTGTAGTTTTAGTTTGTGAGGCATCTACAGCATAGAGTATTTGTTTCTCTTTTCTTCCTGTTTGTATAGAAGTGGCACGCCGTCCCCCAAACGGACATCCATAGGCTCCAGGCCACCAGCAGGAAGAGGCAGCAGAGATCGTTTTACTGGGGAATCATACACAGTGCTGGGTACGATAAACATAGTCTTCATCGTGTCAGGTTAAAGGGATCACAGTCACACCACTGGGCTTTCTGCCCACTTAGAGCTGGAGTGGCCTGTTTCTAATGAATATTTGCCAAGGTTTCTCCCTCCTGAAGCCTAATTACTTTTGGCGGGTTTCAAATTGTCTAATTATTTATTTGTTTAAAACTTTATTTCATTTTATATAGTGCTCTACGTGTATGCATATCTTTTGAGGAGATAGGAAGAAAAGTTCTAAAGCTTTTTATATATCAGAAAAAATAATAGTAAATATACAAGTAAAGTTATAACAGATACTCTGCTTATAGTGTCTGTGTGTTAATATGGTTATTTTCCTGAATCAGATTTTTTGTGCCATTTTGTGGGATGAGAGGTAACAATCTATGTGACATATAAGGAAGATCTTAGAGTCAAATTTACCTTTCTGATCTTTTGTAGGAGACACTGCTATTGAAAGTGGACAACATTATTGGGAGGTCAAGGCCCAGAAGGATTGTAAATCTTACAGTGTGGGAGTAGCATACAAGACTTTGGGGAAATTTGACCAATTAGGAAAGACAAACACTAGTTGGTGTATCCATGTCAACAACTGGCTGCAAAACACATTTGCAGCAAAGCATAATAATAAAGTCAAAGCCTTGGATGTTACTGTTCCTGAGAGAATAGGTGTATTTTGTGATTTTGATGGGGGTAAGTTTACTGATTTTCTCATAAGTCATTTTGTCATAGTTGCTTACATTTCAGTACTTTTCATTGGTAATCATCTACACAGAATTTTTTAATATTGTGGTAAGGGTGTTTTGACCTACTAGGATTTGATCACAAACATAACTTCAGCTCTGGAATTGACTGGGAGGGTGTGTGATGTTTGCCTGAAGCCTTACAAAAGCACTCATGTATAATATGCTTAATAGGTCTGAAAGAATGATTTTGTTAATTTTAGTGTTAAGCATTAAAATTTTTTCTATCCATTTTTATTCCTTCCTGACCTGATTTTATTATCTGTGAAGAGTGGTGGAGTCAGATTTTTCAAGTTGGAGTGGACTTAGAAGTTACCCAAATCTACACAGTATAAAATCCTTACTACAGTTATCTCTGCAGGTAGCTGTCACTCCTGTGCTTGAAGAAGTTTTTAATGTGAAGTTTATTGTTGTAGAAGGTAGCTTACTTCATTGTTGGAGAGCATTTGGTAACGCAGAGTTTTTCTTAAATTGACTTGTTTTGTTTCCTGATACCTTATGAGACTGCTATCCTTAAATTTTGTCATCTGAAGAAACAGAATTATGTTCCCTAATTCACATTTACATGATAATCCTTATTTGCTTAAAACCTAACATTGCTTCTTGTGCTGGTTTTCCAGACTATACATTTTCTGTATCACTGGCTGTTCCTCTTACAGTTTAATTTTTCCAAAATTAAAGTATGTGGTTGTACACTATGTCAACATTATTTCTTAAAGATGGGTTCTCAAAGTAGAACATGAAACTGAGGACCATCATAGGACATGTAATTTGGCAGCACAGTTTCTAGTACTATGACTTATTATCATTGTTGGTGTATATTGAGCTTGTAGCCACCCAGTCCACTAGATCTTTTTTCATGGAGTTCTATTAAACTGTTTTTTTTTTTTTTTTTCATATATTAGGCAGTTTAGGGTTGTTTTTGTTGCTTAAACTCAAGAATATTACATTTGTCCTTAAGTTTCTTTTGTTGTTGTTGTTTCAAATTTTTATTTAAATAGTAGTTAACATGTAGTGTACTGTTGGTTTCGGGAGTAGAATTTAGTGATTCCTCACTGACATACAACACCTAGTGCTCATCCCAGCAAGTGCCCTCCTGAATGTCCATCACCCATTTAGCCCGTCTCCCGCCCACCTCCCTCTGTCAACCCTAAATGTGCTCTCTATAGTTAAGAGTCTCTAATGGTTTCATCTTAATAGATTTGACCAAGCTTTTTGAACACTTCTGTTAAAATCATCTAAAAAGTAACTTGATATTTATCTTTTGCAAAATTTGCTTGAACTTTTTGAATTAGGTATTTGATAAGTATCTTCTCACTGTCATCAAAATATTTATAAAAATTTTAAAGATGACCCTATTGAACTAGGGAACAAAAGTAATTCCCTAGGTACTTCTCTTTAAATTGACACTGTAAACAAATAAAACTCTATTTTACCATTTTAAGTAACATGTTTCCAGATAATTTACTGAGCCTTCAACCTAGTTACTCAAAAGGAAAAAGTTAATTTTGGCTTGATTGAATTTTAGTGACAACACGTTAGTCTTGCTGCATTCTTTTTACTTACTCACTTTGACTCAGATAAATAATTTCCTCAGGATACATGTTAAATTTATTGGCACACATTTTTTTTTTCTTTTTCAACTCTCAAGGTAGCTTTTGCTTATCTTCCATTTTCTCATGCTTTGTGCGGTTCCTCAAAGATGGTAGTGAGAAGTGTGTTGTTTAGCCTAGAGCATAGGGTAGGAAGGAGTTGTAATGTAAGATGGGATCAGATTCCGAGAGCCTTGAAAAATAATAATAGGCTCCTCTTTTTTGTTATTTGAGGGAAGGGGATTTCTCTGCATTTTAGGAAACTGTAGTCATATGATAATCTAGTTTTAGAAATATTGGAGAGTAAGTGGCTAAATGTGGAAGAGATTGCAAACATATTGTTAAGACTCTTCAGGAGTCAGTCTTTAAGCAGTGTGGCAGGGCCATGTTTATCTTGTTAAGTATTGTTTCCTTATTCCTGGCAAGGGCTTTTTACATTGTAAGCCCTTAATAAGTGTTTGTTGAGCAATTATTAGTAACAAGGGCCTGAGCAGTGGGGAATCAAGAGGAATGGATTTGATGGTATGAAAGTAGAATTCATAGGACTCAATAACTAAATGTGGATTGGAAAGTGAACAAACAAGAGTTGAAGATGACTGAGATTCCAGCCACTGTGGTCAAGAGGATGGCATGTCATCAGTAGCATGGGGAACATAGTCCTGGGTCAAGATGAGATGCCAGCAGGACAATCATGTGGCATAGCTGGCTAATATTGAGAAAATTTCAGGGCTAGAACTCAGAAAAGATGTAGAGCTGGAGCTAAATACTAGACGCACCATCACAGAGTGGCTACTGAAGATTGCATAGAACAATTGAATGTTACTGCTGTGTTGTTTACTAACTTTGTGACCATTCATAGGTTGCTTAATGTTTTGAGGTAATATATATGAAGAGCCCAGTGCTTTGATGGTAGACATAAATGCTAGTTTCTCTTCTCTGTTTGGTGGCAGGTGAGTCATTAAGGAAACATTGTAGAGAGAAAAGAGAGCCTGGGCAAACATCTACATTCAGAATAGGAGAAAAGGAGATAGAAGATATCGTCAGAGTTAGATACAAACCAAGAGAAGTTATGGGACAAGAATTTCAAGAAGTGATAACAGATGTAAGGAGGCCATCAAGTTGTACAGTTAGGTGGTCAGAAAAACAATCATTTTAGTTGCATGATAACATTGAAAGACAGACCAGGACGGTATTTTAAAAATTAGCAAAACTGAAGCAGTGATAACTATGATTTCAGAGACTAAAATGAGTATTGCTTCAAGTATTTAGAAGACAAGGTTTAATAGAGTAAACCTTAAATGGTGATGGGAGTTGGGTAGAGAGGCTAGGTATAGTAAAAATGAAGAAGAAATAGCCTTGGTTTTTACTGAGTTAAGGAAGCCATTTGTTAAATAATGATAAAATAGTCTATAGTTGAATTAGATTATGGAAGCACTATAGAGATCTTGAAAATCAGGAAAGAAAACTAGATTTGGGCCTTTTCTTAAGCATGTATACTACTGATTTTCAAGTGAGAATTTCTAAGTCCAGTCCTTATAGTTTGTAACCAAAAAGAGTCCCAAATATGTATTCAGTTATTACTTTACCCATGATTATATGTTAGATTTAATTAAATCTGTATAATAAATTAGCCCCCCCCCCTTTTTTTTTTCTTTTAGGTCAACTTTCTTTCTATGATGCAAGCTCAAAACAGTTGTTGTATTCCTTTAAGACAAAATTTACTCAGCCAGTACTACCTGGTTTCATGGTTAGTACCAAATTTATATTTTATTTGGTTTGACAAATTTATTGAGAACAATCTATTCTATATATTTGGGGAAGCCGAATATCTTATTTTTCCTTCATATTCTTTCCTCTTTCCCTAATCTACCTCTTCCAAATCTGTGATTGTGGGTATATTTTTGGTGTGTTTTATTGAAGTAAATATTATTACATGAAAGTATGCAGACCATAAGAATGCAGTTTGATGAATCTTCATATACTGCACACATTTTTGTAATCAGTATCTAGATCAAGAAGTGGAACCTTAATGGGGCGCCTGGGTGGCTCAGTCAATTAAGTGTCCAACTTTGGCTGAGGTCACGATCTCACGGCTTGTGAGTTTGAGCCCCGTGTCGAGCTCTGTGCTGATGGCTCAGAGCCTGGAGCCTGCTTCAGATTCTGTGTCATCTTCTCTCTCGGCCCCTCACACTGCTCATGCTGTCTCTCTCTGTTAAAAAAAAAAATTAAACATTTTAAAAAAAGGAAAAGAAGTGGAACATTAACAGAGCCTCCTGTGCCTTCTTGTGCCCATTTCTAGCCTCTACTGGCCTGCCTGCAAAGTGGTTACCATCTTGAGTTTTAATACCATAAATTAATTTTGCCTCCTTTTCACCTTTGTATACAATATCTTTTTGGTTTAGCATTATGTTTGTGAGATTTATCCATGTTGTTCTATGTGGTGGTAGTTTACTCATCTCATATAGTTTTACTTTATATTTGTATGTATAGTTTCCCATTATATGACTATTTCATCATTTATATATCCATTCTAATTTAGTTGGATTCTTGTGTGGTTTCTCCTTGGGGACATATACAGATGGAATAGTTATGAATATTCTTGTTCATGCCTTTTGGTAAATGTATGTTTCTGTTGGGTATATAACTAAGATTGGAGTTGCTAGATAGTATAATGTGTGTGTAATCAACTCTAGCAGGGTTTTTCAAAGTTGATGGTTATACTAATTTATTGCTAGCAATATATCTTTATCAACACTTGGTAGTATCTTTTTTAAGTTTTAGTTCTTCTAATGGGTAAGATATATTGAATTGTGGTTTTTCATTTGCACTACCTTGATGACTAGTGCTGTCGAACACTTTTTTTAATCTTTATTATTTAGATACACTCTTTTGTGAAATGGTTGCTCAAGTCTTTTGCCTGTATTTCTATTGAGTCCTCTTCCTATGTCTTATTGATCAATTTGGAGTTCTTTAAATAACCTGAGTCTTTTTTTTTTTTTATTATATGAAATTTATTGTCAAATTAGTTTCCATACAACACCCAGTGGTCATCCCAAAAGATGCCCTCTTCAATGCCCATCACCTACCCCCCCCTCCCTCCCACCCCCCGTCAACCCTCAGTTTGTTCTCAGTTTTTAAGAGTCTCTTATGCTTTGGCTCTCTCTCCCACTCTAACCTATTTTTTTTTTTTCTTTTTTTTTCCTTCCCCTCCCCCATGGATTTCTGTTAGGTTTCTAGCCTGAGTCTTTTGCCAGATATATGTATTGCAAATTTCTTTTCCACTCTGGCTTTCCTTTTCCCTCTCTTGGTATCTTTTCATGAAAAAGGTTGTTAATTTTAATTTTGCTCTGTTTATCAATTTAAAAATGTATGGTTAGCACTTTTTTCTTTAAGAAATCTTTTTGCACCTCCAAGGTCATGAAAATATTCTTGTTTTCTTCTAAAAGCTTTTCCTTGTACCTTTAGATACAGACTGCATTTACAATGCAAGTACAATGTAGAATTGCTATGTTTGGTATGAGGTTGGGGTCAACTTAAATGTAAGGAATTCCTAAATTCCTTATGGCTATCTACTTATTCCATGACCATTTATTGAGAAGACCATCTTTTTTTCTGTTGTAGTGGAGTGTCATCTTTGTAAAATATTAGATTAACAGTCTGTGTGTGGTAGGCAGAATATATGTGTCTGTACACACATAGATGATACCAGGACTACTCAATTTCAGGTTGATTTATTTTATTTTTTTACTTTTACTTAAATCCCACTTAACATAACAAACAATAATGGTTTCAGGAGTAGAATTTAATGATCCAACACTTACATGTAACACCCAGTGCTCATCCTAACATGTGCCCTCCTTGATGCCCATCACCCATTTAGTCCATCCCCCCACCCAACACCCCTCCAGCAACCCTCAGTTTGTTCTTTGTAGTTAAGAGTCTCTTATGGTTTACCTCCCACTCTCTTTTTCATCTTATTTTTCTGTCCCTTCCCCTGTGTTCCTCTGGTTTATTTCTTAATTCCACATATGAGTGATGAAATATTGTATTTGTCTTTCTCTGACTGACTTATTTTGCTTAGCATAATACATTCTACTTCAATCTATGTTGTTGCAAATGGCAAATTTGATTCTTTTTGATCGTCAAGTAATATATCATTGTATATGTAAATACCACATCTTCTTTTTTTATTTTAATATATGAATTTATTGTCAAATTGGTTTCCATACAACACCCAGTGCTCATCCCAAAAGATGCCTTCTTCAATGCCCATCACTTACCCTCCCCTCCTTCCCACCCCCCGTCAAACCTCAGTTTGTTCTCAGTTTTTAAGAGTCTCTTATGCTTTGGCTCTCTCCCACTCTAACCTCTTTTTTTTTTTTTTTTTCCTTCCCCTCCCCCATGGGTTTCTGTTAAGTTTCTCAGGATCCACATAAGAGTGAAAACATATGGTATCTGTCTTTCTCTGTATGGCTTATTTCACTTAGCATCACACTCTCCAATTCCATCCACCTTGCTACAAAGGGCCATATTTCATTCTTTCTCATTGCCACGTAATACTCCATCGTGTATATAAACCACATCTTCTTTATCCATTAGTCAGTTGATGGACATTTGGGCTCTTTCCATAATTT